ATTGACTTTTTTTGTTGTTACAGATGACCAAATTTTGACAGCCATCCCAAACTGATTTTGTAGTTAAATAAGTGGATCAACGCTCAGGATTCAGGAGGCAGAGCACCAGCGGAGGGGTAGGGAAGCAGGCAGTGGATCAGGTGGGCAGTGAGAGGACCAGTGTGCTCCTACTTACTGTGCAAAGCCTGGCCACACCGCCCTCCCTGGCCTGTAGCTTGGAAGGAGGGAGAGGAAATCTAAACAAGCTCGTAGTATCCTTTCCCTCTGCTAATGCAGTCCTGCTGCACAGTGCCTTTGGCAGGCTAAAAACCATCATCCTTTGTGTTCATTGGGCACTTCTTACTCTAAGCATCAGCTGGGCATGGCTGGAGGTTTCCATTGAGGAGATGCATAGGTAGAAGTTTTGGAAATTAGGTATACTGTCATCCCTTGATCTCCCCAGAGGACCTCCCCTTAGATGCCAAAATCTGCGCATGCTGAAGTACCTTCTATAGAATGGCATGTAAATACCTGCATCTTCTTATATACTTTAGATCATCTCTGGATTACTTATAATGCATAATATGGTATAAATGCTCTGTAAATATTCACTATACTGTGCTGTGTAGGGACAGTAATGACTGGGGGAGGGGTCTGTACTTGTTCACCATAGGCTTGTAAAAAATCAATCTGCAGTTGGTTGAGTCCACAGGTATGGACCCTGTAGATACAGGGCCAACTACAACATACTGCAGTAGAAGCCTTAAGGAAATAATGTGTTATGTCTGTAGAATCTTGAAGGGATTGCTGAGTGTCTTCTAATCTTTAGGTCAAAATTAAGGAAACTTTATTCAGAACAGATTCTTAGGGTACCCCTAAATCCACCCTGGAGGGGTTAGTTGGAACTTTAAAACTGGACTGGACTGTGGCCCATGCTTGTCCTGGTCCCCAAGATACGTGTGATGTGGTTCAGCTGAAAAGCAGGTCATTCTCACTGGTCATCAATGTAAAATGTCCTTGAATGGCCAGTGAGAAACACTTGAGTGAAACTTTTCAGCGAAGCAGAAGAGGGGCAAGCTTAACACTCCAAGGCTGTGTGATTAAACTCGCAGAACAGGAAATGAGTAAGAAACTAGAGCATGCCATTTGCTTACCCACCAGGATCTTACTGGAAATAAGAGTATTATCTACTGGTTTGGGAGACAGCAAGATAAGGCTGCTGTGCTCCTGCAGTTGCTTTCATAGCTATGGCTTGTTGGCTTTCATCAATCTGGAATAATAAAAACTACCTGGGCCCAGCAGAGTATGCTAGTGTCGTGTTTCTTATATCTAGAATAGGTATTGTATCAGGCAGCTATTGCCAACATAATGCTGTGTAACAAACAATTCTAGAAGTCATTGGCTTAAAAGAGTGGTGGTTTTTTTCCTTTAGATTTTCTGACCGGAGCAGGTCTGCTGATTTCAGCTGGGCCCACTCACAGCTGTGGGCCAGCTAGCCCATGCTGGGCTCCATGGGGGCAGTTCCACTTGTGTCTTTTACATTTATGGAACCAGGGTTCTAGCTGTGGCCTGCCCTCTCATAGTGGTGGCAGAGACACAGGAGGTCAAGGTCAATTTCACATGAGCTTTTGAAGCCTTTGTCTGCATCTGTCCTGCTAGAACCCCCACGTAGACAAGGCTGTTCTCCCCACCAGTCACTCAGCCTCGGCTCTCTTCTTTTCTTGGCCCTGCTGCTCTTCTGGTCCTTGTCTGCCCTTCCTTCAAACTGCATGTATTTTTCAGGCTGTCTCCTTCTCTTAGAACCCTCAAGCCCTGCAGATTCTCATCCCTTTGCTTGTTTAGGTTGCTCCTGTATCTGCTCAGAATGGGGATCTCTGACCCGAGCACCCTTTGTAAAAATGGCCACCACACCATCTCCACCTCCACCTCTACACCCCTTAGCCTATTTCTGATTACTGCAGCAGTTGCCACCGCTGACCCTGGGCTGTTCAGTTCCTCCACTGCAAGGGAAACTCCACAGTGGCAGGGACTTTATCCTGCTGCCTGTGAGGTCTCCAGCCAGTGTTGGGGTGAATGAGCGTGGCCAGAAGGTCACTCAGGGTGAGCTTGAGTGTTTCCAGGAACACATAGCTCACCTTTCGGAGGCCCAGTCTTCCATCCTAGGCTGTTCTGAGCCTCTTTGCATCTAGTTCTGCTTTCCAGAGCCATGTAGCACAGAGAAAAAGAAAGTTCTTCTGTGTTGTCCATTTGCCTGTGTTACACCACATTAACTCTTAGATTAGCTTTGAAGAAGAAAATAAAAAAAAGAAAATTCAAATTAGACTCAGTCCTACCACTCAGAACAGCTTCTAGAGTTTTGTGTACTTCCTTCAATTTCTATAAATATTTTTAACATAAAAATCCACATAATGCTCATACGGCAGTTTTATGTTCTGATTATTTTTTTGCCTATACTGTATCTAAAATAGTCTCCTGAGTGATTATATAATTCCATGACATTTTTATGAGCAGTGCACTGTTGAATTGTATGGAAATCTAATTATTTTTCTATGGTTGGCTATTTGGATTGTTAAACATTTAGACTAAGCTTTTGAGTAATTTTATAAGCAATGCCAGGATATAAATATTTGAAGGCTTTGGTAGCTATTGCCTTAGAACAAGCAGTCAAAAAGGATAGACTTTCTGTGGCAGGCATTTCAGACACTGTAAAATTGCTCTCTAAAAGATTGTACAGGGGCTGGTGAGATGGCTCAGAGGTCTAAAGCACCTACTTGGAACAAGCTTGGCAAAGCACAGGGACCACGGTTCAATCCCCCAGCACCACATGCCAGCCAGCTCCAACCCCGGGTGGGCTGAGCTGGTCACACACACACAGACACACACACACAATAATAAATAAATAAATGTTTTTTAAAAATAAATAAATAAAAGATTGTACAATTAAAATTCCCATAAGGGGCTGGCCAGATAGCTCAGCAGCCTAAAGTACCGGGCATAGGCAGAGCTCAGGGACCAAGGTTCGATTTCTGGCTCCATATGCCATGCCAGCCCTGCCTCTAGGGAGTGCTGAGAGGTGTCACATGCCTATAGTCTCAGCACTTAGGAGGCTGAAAACAGGAGGATCAGTATGAGTCTGATCTGTACAGTAAGACCATGTACTAAATACATTAAAAAAATTCCCAAAAGCACTGTAAAATTTCCCTTATCTTTATACCTCTACCAGTTGTATTTTATTTTCAAAACTTACCAATCTGATAGTGAAAGAGATTGAAACTTTTTTCCAATGGGTACTGGCCATGGAAAGAGAATTAATTGCTAGTTCATGTTCTTTGTCCATTTCTAAATGTATATTGATATTTTTAGCTATCAGTGTGGAAGAACGTCTTGCATGCAAACAATATCAAATTTTTGTTGAAAATAATTTTCCCATGTTAATGAGCTTTAAATTTTGTTACGTAGCTACAGATTGTTATGTTCGTATTGGTGCATCTTTTTCTTTATGGTTTCTGGAAAATACTGTGTTCCCGAGACTCCAGTGCGATTCAGTGAACTCTCCAAATTTGTCTCCCTCGCCTGTGTGTGTGTATACACGCCACATCATTATGTATTTATCCTATTAAAATTGTCCTTTTAAAGTAGCAAATCAAGCAATGAGTTTTTATGCATTTTAGCCTACTAGACTTAAGACATTTATTGTCTCCCATTTTGGGGGTATTAGATTGAGGTATTAGGAAATTTGGTTTCTGTTCAAGGCTCTCTTCCTGGCTTTTTTTCAGAACTGGGGATTGAACTCAGGCCCTTGCGCTTACCAGGCAAGCGCTTATTCCACTGAGCCATCTCCCCACCCCCTCTCTTCCTGGTTTTAAGACATCAGCCACCTTGCTGTTCTCACATGGCTCTTCCTCTGCACACCCTGAAGGCTGGGGTGGGGCAGGAGAGGTCTCTGATGTCACTTCTTGTTCCTTCAGGAACACCACCCTTATGGTCTTGTTTAACTTTACTTTCTTAAAGACTATCTTCAAATATAGCCATATTGAGGGCTCAGGTTTAAACATACGAATTCAGGAGGGCACAGTTCCACCCATAACAGTATCATTGAGCAGTGCTGGTAGACGAGAAGCCCAGATCTGGGAAGGATCTGCTCAGAATTCCATTTCACAGATATGAGGTCAAGCCCCTGAAAGGGTCACGGCACTTTTCACAAAAGAGCCTAGACTCAGAGCACTGGCTTCTACACCAGTTCTTTCCCCTAAATCTTATTTAAATAAATCTAGGACAATTAAGAGGTATAATAAAAAAGGTAGTGGGCAGAAGGTACCTCCACATCTCCTGCAGAGGCAAGGTCTGTTCCATTTTTCTTTCCATCCTGTGGCCTAGACAGTTCCTGGATTGTGCTGTCCATTTAAGGTACAGTTGTTGAATTGGACAGAACTCAGAACCTGACACATGGATGCAAGCAGTGCCTAAGGAAACTTAAATCTTTTGGGAAAATTACCCCGCCCCCAAATTCCAACTCTTGACAAGAGCTGCCTGCAGTGTTGTCTGTGTGTGGCTGCTAGCCATATCGTGCGAACCTCCAAGACTCGGCACGTCTGCACCTGACAAGCTCGGATCTGGTGTGTTAGAGCTGCCCTTCTTTAAAAAATTCCTGTCACCTAAATATAGTTTTGTTCTAAAAGGTGTCTCTAAGTGGCTGTGTTGTGCTCTGGGTAAGCTCTCCCCGTTGTATCCTGGCGGAGCGTGAAAAGGAAGGTAAACGCGTGAAATCAAATGGTGATTGCTAACAATGAAATTTGGGCTCATGAAATCAAGGATATTATTCAAAACTGCGAGGTAAATTAGTCTCATTCATTCTGATGGGGCTAGACTCGAAGGCTGTGTGTGCTTCTTTAATTAACATGCTGAAAAGATGTTCTGATTGGGATTATTAATGAATGCAGTGAAAATTTTTGCTGCTTCCAGGGCTCCTGCCACAGACGGCTCCCACAGCCTCCGTTTTCGGTTTTTTTCTCCCCCCACAGATTCCTTACATGGCTTGACAGATGGAGTATTCATCTTTGAAGCTGTTTCCACAGAGGAGAGCAAAAGCACACAGGGCTATGACGCTATTGTTGTCGAACAGTGGACGGTTCTGGAAGTAAGTGCGGGGCTGGCGGAGGTGTTTCTTCTATGGGGGCAGTAGTGGTTGTTCTGTCAGCTTGCTCAGCTGTGACTTTCTTGTGAAAGGGATTCACCTGGGTCCCTGGTGTGGGCTCTCTTCATTCCTTGTGTGCTCACAGGTGGGAGTGGACCCCACTTTTTCCTTTCTTCAGGAAAAACCATTGCATGTGCCAGGTTATTGGGTGGAAAGAGAGCTGATGCTCATTAATGTATCACCTATGAGGCCAGCACCTAGCTGGTGGCCTCTATGCTGGTATCAGCAACACTGTCTGCCAAGCCCAGCCCTCCCAGTAAGCCTTGGACGAAGTCACACACACATGAGCTTGCTCAGTCATGGTAGTGAGCCTGTGAGGTAAGTGTCTTTATTGCTCCTGTTTTGCAGCTAGGAAATGAGGCACAGAGAGGTTGAGTCCCTCATCCAAGGTTTCGCATGAAGGACACATTTCAGAAGTGATAACTCCTAAGGCCACCAGTGTGGCTAGGGGCAAAGGAATTTTTCAGGCCATGATCCCTAGTGTTTTGGAATCACTGATTGACTTCTAAGATTCACTGGCTTTTCTTCTCCAACTTTAAAGCATAGATATCTAAACTGGTGTCTGTGCGTACTTGACTTACTTTTTTCTCATTGCTGAAATAAAATGCTCGGCACCCAAAGTTAAAGGGGGATACTTTATTTAGCTCACAGTTTGTTTCAGTCCATAATCAGCTGGCTCCAAGGTAGGGTGGCATCTGTCTTTGTTACTTTTTCCTCACTGCTGAGACAAAATACGTGACAACCAAAATGAAGGAGAGGTTTATTTAGCTCACAGTTAGTGGAGGTTTCAGTCCATACTCAGCTGGCCTCAAGGCAGAGCAGCACATGGAAGGGGGCAGCCTTTATGGCAGTGGAAAATGGCAAAGAGCAAAGGGAGGAGCAGCAGCTGAGGCATCGAGCAAGCCTCTTTTCCCTCCTTAGTTTGTATGCAGATTATCTGTCCCAGGGAGAATGTAGCATTCACACCCATAATCCCAGCCTGGGTCATGAATTAATCACAAACTCTAGAAGCCCACCCAAGTGACTGCATGAGGCTCTGGAGGGACAACTAGACACAAACCACAACAGCATCACAAACCACAACAGCTCATGGTGGGCAGGAGTAACAAGGGCTGACCACAGCTCTATTTGTCCCGTATGTTTTATCCACGCTCCTTAGGGCAGGGGGAAACACTCACATCCTTAATCCTGGTGCCCTTGATCCTACCATTGCATCGTGAATCTATATCAGCAGCACATTCTTAAATACAACCGCCTCTGAACGAGCCCCACCTGTGACTGCATGAGGCTTTGGGGAGATGTCTGGACACCAGACACAATGACACTGTTTCTGGGAGTAAAGGAAAGCTATTTGGCTATAGAGAACTATGACAGTGCAGTAACAGCACACTGTGGGGAGCCAGCAGTTTCGTTTCATCATCTCATGGCTCACTGGGAGCATCACTCGCTGCTGCAGCCCAGCGTGGATGGAGTGTATGGTACTACAGGTTGCTAGTCTAGGAAAAGATCAAATTTCAGAGTTCAGTGGCTGCGAAACACATACCACTTCTGCACCTTTGTTCAAAAAATTGAGTTGAACCATCATAAATAGGGACCATCTGTATATAAAGTGTTGGAGAAAGTTAAGGTTCCATACTAAACTGAGGACCTAGTTGTTTCCATAATTTAAAAATAGGTCAGTTGTATGATTTGAGGAATTAGATCAGGAAAACTTAACATTTATTTGGAAACTTTTCCTGGATCTGAAGATTGGTTTCTATTAGGCTTATCAACCTTCTTTCTAAAATGTTTGAACTTTTTTCCTCTTGATGTCTTACTCTTGTGCACTGATCTGTTGGATGACATTAAACTTCAGATTGATTCTTCTAGGGATGCTTACCTGAGCTTTTCTGCAGGAATTCTTGGAAATATATTTGGGTTTTTCAGGATATGTGGTGGGCTCGGTGGCACGCATCAGCCCACATGGCCAGTTCTGTTCATCTGTCCCTGCTTTAGTCAGTAACATCGGGTTGGTAATTAGAGATTGACTGTGGCGCAAGTATTTACACCATGGAAATCAGCAGACCCTGGATACTGCTACATTACCCCCGACCCCAGAGAGCCAGTTGTAAGCATTTACCAGCATAAACAAGATGGGCCTTTATTTCATTGCATTTCAACATGCTGGAAAGATGTGACTAATGTCCAGTTAAGCAGAAACATATTTTCTTAATTTTCATAACGATGACAAATGGATTGATTGTTTTGTTAAATGACAAATGGATTAACTTTCTCTGTACAAGTTTTCACACTTGCTCTTCCCTCTAGTCTCCGGAGCAGCCTTGAGTTTCCCACAGAAGAAACAAATCTCTGTCTTATTAAGCAGCAGAAGCCTCTCAGATTGGCATCTCCTAGAGGCGAAAGGAGGAGACCTCCTCAGGAAAGCAAGGGTAGCGAGCCTTCAGGATTCAGCCTGAAGTAGTCTGCTTCTTCCAGAGTGAAAGACCACTCCTGTGGACTCCTCTCATTCTCTGTGCAGGAGCCTACCATGACTTCTGCTGTCCTGTGCTGTTACTGTTCACTGTTCTCCCTTCTTCCGGAGTTTCTAGGCCAGGGACTATTCATCTGTGTTCTCCCAATAAGTGCTCCCCGAGTTGGGTGAAGGTCTTTGAATTGAGCCCATGAGTGGACCAGCATCAGTATCAAGCTTGTGTCAGCATCACCTGGAGAACTTTGGCAAGCAGGTATTTGGGGTGTGGCCCCAGGGTGTGTGTCTTAGCCTGCTAGGGATGCCCTAGCAGAATACCACAGACTAGGTGGCTGACACAAAAGAGATTTACAGGGGCCAGTGAGATAGCTCAGCTGACTAAAGAGCCTGCTTAGGCAAGCTTAGGCAACCACAGGGACCACATTTTGATCCCCAGCCCCTTATGCCATGCCAGCCCTGCCCCTGAGGGCAGGCTGAGCCAGCCAGAGCCGGGGTGGGGTGAGGGTGGGGTGGCACATGCTTGTAGTCCCAGCACAGAAGAGGCTAAAAGCAGGAGGATTATAATAATAAGTCCGAGCTGCATAGTGAGACCCTGCAACAACTAAATAATATTTTTTTAAATATTTATTTATTTTATTTATTACATTTATTTATTGTGTGTGTGTGTGTGGCCAGCTCAGCCCACCAGGGGGCGGGCTGGCTGGCATGTGGTGCTGGAGGATTGAACTGCGGTCCCTGTGCTTTGCCAAGCTTGTTCCAAGTAGGTGCTTTAGACCACTGAGCCATCTCTCCAGCCCCCTAAATAATATTTTTTAAAAAGATTTGTATTCTCAGTTCTGGAGGCTGGAAGTCCAAGCTCAAGGTGGCTCCGGGGATTAGTTTCAGATGAAGGCTGTCTTCCCAGCTTTCAGAAGCTGCTTTGTCTTTACATGGCCTTTCTCCTGCGCATGCTTAGCGGGAAAAAGCAAGCGAGCTCTCTGGTGTGTCTTCTTATAAGGACCTAATTCTACTGGATCAGGACCCCACTTTTCAAACATCACTGACCTTAATTATGACATTGAGAGCTAGGTCTTCACAATAAGGTTAAATTTGGGGGTGAAACAGAACATTCAGTCTATGTGAGTACTTCTGAGATGGGACCCAAGAATTTACACTTTCAACACTTCTCAAGTATGCTGGTGCTGCTGGTCGGGGACTTGGGCTTTGAGGAAGGGAGTGCTTAGAGCTTATGACCACAACAGTGAGCAGTGTACAGTGTGAAACCGGTTTTCCTGGGCCTGAATTTTGAAGAGGCTCTGTCAGACGCTCACTCTAGCCCCCAAAGAGCCCCACTCCAAGAAACGTGAGTCCTCACCCATCCCCACCCAAGTCTAGGTACTTCCTCTCTTCCCCACCCACTTGGCTTATCAGAAAGTTTTTCCTGTTTAAACCCTGGGCAGGTCCCTTTTGGCTCCTGATTGACCCTGTTTTTCTGGCAAGCATGGTCTTCCCAGAGCAAGCCCTGACCTTTCGGGCTCTGACTTGAGACTCCATCCACCTGCCCGGCCCTGTTGCTGCCTCTTTATTCCTGTGCCTATCCCTGAGCTCCTGTGTAGCTTAGTGTTCTCACTTATGCCTGACTGTCACCCCTCTTGACACACACGGGGACATTCACGCACACCCATGAGCACACACACACCTTTGCTAGCAAGCAGTCTGGCTCTTGTAACCTCTGCAGACTGTGTGGCGTGTGGGAAAGAGGATGGAGCTCCTAGAGTCTGGCCTGGGTGTGTGTCCTGGTCCTCTTAATTCCCAGTGAAGCAAAGCACTGGCTTGCTGTTTTTCCATTCTTCAGCTTTACAAGTGGGGAAACTGGTACCAATGTCTGAAAGTTAGTGAGAATTAAAGGAGAAAATAGGTTTAACTAAAAGTTGTAAGTGGGATCTGGCACACAGTAAGCCCCTGGTAAGACATTGCTTTATCAGTCATTTGATGTTACAGTAAAATAGATCTTCTGGTCACCCTCTTACTCTGCATGCACAACGGAGGGTGTGCTTAGGAGTGTGCATTATCAAATTTTCTCAGGAACCAGTGGCTTAAAATGAAATGTGTGAGGTAGATAATAGGCCAACCACAGGGCATTTGTAAGAGGCATCTTACTGACTTTGAGTCTACAGTCTACAGTATGAGCTAAAAGGATGATTGTGAAAAAAATGGAAAGAACTATGCAGAGAATGAGCTGACAGACAGATAGAGACCTCCTTCTCTCTGTGTCTGTGCCTCTGGGTTGAATAGCCCCTTAATCTGGGGAGGCCACCAGGGCCTACGTGGAGCATGGAGAGGCTTATCATCAGCACCTTTCCTCCCGAGATTCATTTCACCCCGTCAGGACTTCCGATCACCTTTGGCGTCAGAACCAAACAAGGCCAGCAGAGAAGCTGATGCATTGGGTCTGGTGTCTGCTAGAACTGAAAAAAAGTCAGCTAAAAGAAATCAA